TTCGAATCGTCATCAGTTGAAAATGCTAAATCGTATTGGTGTTTGATGCGTAGCTTTTGCAATTCGAGAATTTGCCAAAATCTTACGAACGCCTCCTTAATAAAACGATTGTCTTTTTTTATCTTTTTTGTTAACTAATAATATTAACTATACGGATGCAGTTGTGGTCACTTTAAGTGGATGAAATGAGCGAATAAGTGGAAACTGATTCACCCAGCAATCATTGGAACTTTTTATCAGCTTCGAACAGATAAATATCATCTTCATTGATGTTCAGATTCTAAATCTTCTAAATCCATAAGATCAAATTTCTTTTTAAGGCATCGCTAATGTATCCAACTTTGGCAGCACGAGCAATATTTGTCGCGTTCGTACAAGCTTTCGGTGTATCGACGGTTGTAAGACCGAATGCAACCACTTCAATCCACACGACACATTTGGTCAATGAAGATGGTCAGTGGAAGCCTGCATCGCAACGTGAAGTCGGTTCCAACTTCATCAGCAATTCCATATTTCCAGCCTCGATCAAATGCATTTCGTACAAATGCCCAGAAAAAAATTAAGCAGATGTATGAGCAAGCAAACGAAAATGAACGTAATTCACGAGAAGAGCGTTGAGAAGTTTCCAGGGAAATGACTACTCTAGAATGCACCATTCAATTATACCAAAAATCTGTCTCGATTCTTTCACTGATTGGTTCGTCGAATCAGCAACCATGATTGTTCTATCCACGGAGCTTGTAAACAGATCTGTTACTTCATAGAATCAGTGACTAATTTCACGGTTCGTTTCAGAATCGTCATCGAGCCACAACAGACGAACCATCGGTGGCGTTGAGATTGGTCTTCTTGACGTTTCTAATGATCTTCATATCAATATTTGTTTTTTATACGATCTATTTGGTGGTGCGTTGTGTGAGGTTCATTAATTGTTATCGTCGTCTACAAATTAGACGTCACTCAATTATTATCGCAGGACAGATTGGTGAGTGAACATCCAATCATCCACATTCGCTGATTAGGGCATTTAATCGTTTGATCCATGGATATCACTCAGAAAAGAAGTTAAGCATGAGAAATGGACAAAGCATTCCATTTTCAGTGATTATGTTATGTTCATCAGAATCGGATGAGTTATAGTGAAATACGTGAGTGTGTCTGGTCCAAAATGTTTTGGATAATTTTCAGATCCAGAGTTGACGTGTTCAGGACAACGTCGGCTATCAAGGCTATCCAAAACCTCGAGGTGACCAGTATGACAATAACTGGAGTTATTGTATGGTTGATAGGAGAACTCGAAAATATTCTCCGATAGAACGATAACTAATCAATTGCTTATCACAAGTGCCTTGTGCAATAAACTGACATTTTACTATGATTGTTCGATCGCCTCTTTTGTTTTGTGCTGTTATACTCCGTCTTGTTCAATAGAATAAGATTTATATAATATATTTCGTTGATTAATTTTATCAAAATTGCATAAAATCTTATGTATATAGCCGAAGAATGAACTGAAGTGATGGCCACAAACCATGTTTCTTGAAAATTACTCATTACAATTGAAAAATTATTACTTCGCTGCAAGCCATGTTCATGTGCAATCAAGAAAGATGGAGCAATGAATGAGTGTTCAACACCAGATTGAAGTGTGATACCGTGAACAGCTGGTTGACTGAAATTTATTTCAATCATGTGAACATACACATGCAATTTAGTAATTCAGACCACTGTAGAATTTGAATTTTTTATACTGAACACATTATTAACAGTGAAGTACAATAGGATTTCATTGTTCTATATCGGGATGTCTTTAATGTTTTTTGATACATCCGAGCAATCGCAAAGCTGGGTTTTTTT